ATAGTGTGGGTCTGAAAAGCCTAAAAAAGGTGTTGTCGTTTGTCACATCCAATCTTTTTTGGCCTCTGGTCTATGTAAATACTTCATCTTCCTTATATGTTAGCATCTGCCAATCCTGGTTCTTCATTCAATCTCTGGTCAGTGAGCTTTTAATCTCCTTAGTCCTCGATCGTAATATCTCGCCTCAGAATCGGTGGATACACGTCTTCTTTCCCTTTGTTTGTGTAAGTTTGATATTTTCCCTTGAACTGTACTTTGTATTCATCTCCAAATATATAGTAGAGTTTGGTTACATCATATACGGGATTGCCTAAGATCTTTACAGAATCTAATCTAAACAATGAGAATATTCTTGAGCATATTCTATCACCCTCCCGCAGGTGTAGCGTGGGGATCACACACACCTAAGATGGACCGGAAGTTGGTGAAGAGTGTCGTTGGCAAGCCCTTTGTGAAGATATCGGCGTACTGTAGAGAAGACGGTACATGAAGAACTCGAACCAGACCCATCTAAACTTTTTCACGCACAAAGTGAATGTCTATTTCAATGTGTTTTGTTCTCTGATGTTAGACAGGGTTCGAGGACAGATACACTGCACTTATATTGTCACAATAGACAAGTGTAGCGTGCTGAAGTGGGCAATGCATTTCCAGTAACAGGTTCCGTATCCAACAAGCCTCTGCTACAGCATTAGCAACTCCTTTGTACTCTGCTTCGGCGCTGGATCTTGAGACTGTGGCTTGTCGCTTTGCAGACCAAGAGACTAGATTGTCTCCCAAGTAAACGCAAAAACCAGATGTTGATCTTCTTGTGGAAGGACAACCAGCCCAATCCGCATCTGAGTACACTGTGAGCTTCATTCCTTGTGATTTCAAGAGTTGCAGACCTTTTGATTTCGTGCCCTGGACATAGCGAAGGATACGTTTCAAAGCTTGAAGATGTGGCTCTCTAGGGTCATGCATGAATAAACAAATTTGATGGACTGCATAGGCTATATCAGGTCTCGTTAGGGTAAGGTACTGTAGAGCTCTTGCTAAACTTCGATATTCTGTAGAGTCTTCAACTGGTTTCCCATCCTTGTCTGATGGTTTTGATTTTAAATCTACAGGTGTTGCACATGGTTTGCAGTCCTGCATTCTGGCGCGTTCAATAATCTCCTCTGCATATTTTGTCTGATTCAAAAACAGGCCCTTCTCATTAAACAATGCCGAGATTCCCAAGAAGGAATTCCGCTGACCCTCTTCTGTGATAGGAAATTCAGACTTCATGGCATTGACTACTGACTGGCTGAGAGATGAAGATGATGTTGTGAGGATGATGTCGTCGACATAGAGGAGAAGGTAAGCACATACATTGTTCTTCTTGTAGATGAATAGACTTGCATCACTCTTATCTGCGTGAATCCTTGACGCTTGATGAATTGTACAAAACGTTGGTTCCATGCTCGTGGGGCTTGGCGTAAGCCATAGATGGATCTGTTTAGCTTGCATACATGATCCGGTTTTGAAGCATCGACGAACCCAGGAGGCTGAAACATGTACACAGTTTCTTCCAAATTGCCGTGTAGGAAGGCATTCTGAACGTCGTATTGAGTTATCGGCCAGTTGTTAGCAAGTGCAACATGAAGGACAGTCCGGATCGTAGCAGGTTTGACCACCGGACTGAAAGTCTCTGTAAAGTCTATGCTTTCTTCCTGCGATTTACCATTAGCAACAAGTCGAGATTTGTGTTTTTTGAAAACACCATTAGCATCATATTTATGTTTGTGAAGCCACATTGATCGAATAATATTGACACCTTTTGGACGTGGAACCAAATCAAAAGTCTTACTTTTAATTATTGCACTGTACTCATCACCCATTGAATGTTTCCAGAAAGGGTATTTTAAGGCTTGTTTATAGCTTGTGGGAAGAGGTGAGCGATGTTGGGTATGAAGAGAAAGAAGCTGTTTAGGTTTGTGGATACCGCGTTGAGACCGAGTGGTCATTTGATGCCTTGGAGCCTCTGTTGTTGTGCGTGCAGCATGAGTTGGCAAGGCGGTAATATGTTGAAAAGGAAGAGGTGTTTGAGGGGTTTGAAGAATATTGCGAAACAGGGGAGAAGGTTCTGTATCAAAAGAGAGGAAATCATAAGAGGAGTCTTGTTGAGGTTTATACTTTTTATAGGGAAAACTCGCCTCATCAAAGTGAACATGCCTAGAGAGGATGATTTTTCTGGTGTTGAGATCAAAGCATCTGTATCCTCTGTGTTTATGATGGTAACCGAGGAAGATGCAGGGAGTAGATCGGTGAGAGAGTTTATGGGTGGTGTTGAAGTTTTGGTTTGGGTAGCAAAGAGAACCAAATACACGTAAGTGAGTGTAGTCAGTTGGTTTATTGAAGAGAGTTGTGTAGGGTGTTCTGTTTTGGATGGCTTTTGATGGTAAAAGGTTAAGGATGTGGACAGCAGTGTGAAGAGCTTCTACCCAAAAGGAATTTGGAAGTTGAGCTTGAAACAAGAGACTTCGAACTGCATTATTAATGGTTCTTATCATTCTTTCTGTTCGTCCATTTTGTTGAGACATATATGGACAAGAGAAACAAAAGATGATACCATTTGCAGAGAAATGATCATGAAACTGAGCATTGTTGTACTCTGTCCCATTATCACATTGAAAGGCCTTAATGGTTGTGGAGAATTGGTTTTTAACAAAGGCTGAGAAGTGAAGGAATTTGGAAAATACTTGATCTTTAGACCTTAAAGGATAGACCCAAAGAAAATGAGAAAATTGATCAAGGAAAAGGACATAGTACTTAATGCCACTGATACTTTGAACTGGAGATGTCCATAGATCAGAGTGTACTATGTCAAATGGTGCAGTGACAGTTGTATCTGATTTTTTGAAGGGAAGTTTTATTTGTTTGGAAAGCTGACAAGCATGACAAAGTTTCTGCAAGTCTTTATTATTACAGTGCAAAGCTGAAGAAGAAAATAAAGAATTAAGTGTTTCATTGCTTGGATGAGCCAGTCTTTGATGCCAAATGCTGGAGGAGGAGACAAGCAACGCTGAAGGAGTAGAAGAGGTTTTATTGAATGCTGGAAAAAGAGGATAGAGGTCACCAGTACTGTCACTGCGGAGAAGCTTCTTCTGTGTGAAGATCCTTCACAGAAAAACCATTAGGGTCAAATTCAATTGAACAAGAGTTGTCCTTAGTAAATTTTCGGACAGAGACAAGATTTTTAAGAATGGATGGTGTAACTAAGACAGAGTTTAAGGAGAGAGGACGAGTATTAGTGGGAAAGGAAACAGAACCAGTTTTGGTGATTGGAATGGTGGATCCATTAGCAATGGTAACAGATTTTCCAGTGCTCATATGAAAAACAGACTTGAGATTACCTGAGGAGTTGGCAAGATGAGCTGTGGCTCCAGAATCCATGTACCAGTTGTTGTCGGAGGGATCGACAAGCGTCATTGTGTTGAATGCGGAAGCAAAGTCAACTGTAGGTTGCAGTATCGCCTGACCAGCTTGAAGAGCTTGTTGAGTTTGATGAGGAGCTTGGAGTTGTGGTCGTGGACCCAAAAGACCCTGATGGTGGTAAGAGTGCTGATTCTGCTGATGCCATGGGTTGAACTGTTGATTCATCCAGTAAGGGTAGTTGTTAGTCCAGAACGGTCAGTTCCATTGCTGCATATGTGGCCTTTGGTTGTTGTTAAATCGTCCTCTGCCACAGCCACGACCTCTGCCTCGATTGTTGAATGGCCGCTTATTGTTGTTTGAATTAGCAGCAGGGTGTTTACTCTATGTGTGTGGAACGGTTGCAACAAGAACCTTATTAGCAGAGGAGGTGTCTTTGTGTGTCGGGTCCTGTTTCTTGCCTCTGGACAGACGTTCTTCTTCAAGGAGGAGCATGGATCGGGCATCTTCAAAGGTAGGGAATGGTTGACGATGCATGATTACATTGATAATGTTATCATACTTTGAGGTGAGTCCATTAAGCATGTATGTGACAAGGGTTCGTTGAGAAACAGGGGCATCAACGTTTTCCATCAGATCTGCTAATAACTTGAGCTCTTGGCAGTAGACTTGAATAGATTTTATCACCTATCTCCTTGTTGCGCAAGTCATGGTCTAGCTTGACAACCCTCGCTTCTTTGTTGTTACGGAAGAAGTTTTCAATGCGGAGCCATATTTCTCGTGATGTTCCACCGGTTTTGAAGGTACTTTTGAATTGAGACTTCGAGAGAGTACCATACAACCACAACTTCACAAGTCCATCTCTTTTCTTCCATGTTTCATCATTGTCGTTTTCTGGTAGTAGAGTCCCATCGAGATGGCCTGAGACATCAAAGCTTTGACAGTGGGTAAGAAAGAGTTCCTTCCAAGCATCGTAATTGTGTTCATCGTCATCGAGAATGATGGGTATGTGCGTCTTAATGTTTGTCACACCGTAGGCCCTCTCGTGAGGAGCAGTGGCGTTTACGTTTGCCATGTAGTGGAGATGAGAGAAGCGTGAAAAAGAATGAGAAAAAGAAGAAGAAAGGAGAATGAAGAGAGAAGAGTTTTAGGTTCAGGAAGAACCCTCTGATACCATGTAAGTTTGATATTTTCCCTTGAACTGTACTTTGTATTCATCTCCAAATATATAGTAGAGTTTGGTTACATCATATACGGGATTGCCTAAGATCTTTACAGAATCTAATCTAAACAATGAGAATATTCTTGAGCATATTCTATCAGTTTGCTATATATATATTCGTCGGATCTGTATGCATATTCGAATTTCTAAAGCTTTCGACTTTCTTCCACGGGGTCGATTGGTGCAACAGGGTTTTCATCAAAATGGTTGGAGGAGGCCTTATTCCCCAGCTTCTAAGGAGGAAACTTTATTCCCCACCACACGGGAGTTTTTTTTTCACTCTTAAAATATTTTTTTCTTACTGTTATTTTGTGTTATGACACAAAACTCCGGTCTTGTCATGGTTTTCTTCGAAGAAAGCTAATGAGGATGCCGGTTTTAGAGCATTTGCACTTATGGGTGCCAGTGTCACAGGGCTCTTGAGTTGTCTACAGTTGCATCCGCTGATGAAGCTGAACATGGCTTGGAGTCTCTAAACTGCCCTTGGCCTCATGATGGCATTCTCAGCTCTTACGACCATACCTCGTTAGTTTTCACGGATGATCTTATTTTATCAATTGCGGATTGCCTTATTGTAACATTTGGCGGTTGATTTAATGTATATGAGGCAGGATCCGTCGTGGTCACCAGGTTTATCAGCAAGTCTGTGCATCTTGCCACTCCATGTCTCTAATATCTTACCGGTATTTGGTTGGTGTTACCTACACAGAGGAAGAGGCAAATGCAATGGCTGCTGAGATTGAGGTTGTTGATGGACCAAATAATGAGGGCGAGATGTTCAGCCGACCTGGTAAACTCAGTGACCGCCTTCCTCAATCATACTCAAATGAGTTAGCTGCAAGGTTTGCCAATGGAGGAGCCTATCCATCTAACTTAAGTCTTATAACTAAGGTTTTATAATTGTTCTCTTTCACTCAATTTGTATAACTTGTAAGAGAAGTCATCTTCTGTGATCGCCTGTCATCGTCTAACACCTTTGCTTTTTCTTTTGCCTATCCATCTTCTGTCATCGTCTTAACACCTTTGCTTTTTTTTGCTAGGCACGTCACAATGGCCAAAAGTACGTCTTTGCTCTTTTGACTGGTTACCGTGATCCTTCTGCTGGAATTTCAGTAAAATTCTGTCTCCTTTTTCCGGATCAGATCTTCATATTACAACTTCAAATTGTTAAAGAAATCTTGTGACAAACGGTACAGCTAAGAGATGGGTTACACTATAATCCTTATTTCCTAGGTGGAGCAATCGCTATGCCAAAGATGCTCAATGATGAAGCTGTTGAGAATGAAGATGGAACACCTGCAACAGAGGCACAAGTTAGTTTTCTTCTGCTTAGAGCATGTTTATTGGGAGTCCCTTAACCTAGGGACCCCAAAAAACTATAGTTTAAAATTCGTGGGCCCCACCAAAATTTAAGGGACTTCCTCTTCTGTAGCCAAATTAAAGGACGCTCCTTATACTGTTCGCGGACCCCCGAGGGACACGCGGTGACCTGCGATTGGTTACTTAAAAAAATCAGAAAACATGGGTCCCATTTTTTAAAGGGACTACCCATCTTTTCCCCCATTAAACATGCTCTTAAGAAAATAATTGTAGACCTTAAAGCTCTCATAGAGTTAGTAGTCTATTTAACTTTTACCCTTTTTTTTTTAGTGATTCTGTAGATGGGTGAGGATGTTGTATCATTCTTGTCCTGGACAGCTGAACCAGAAATTGTAAGAGAGGAAACTGGTAAGTTTCTCTTTCTGACTTTTTGAAAGCTGTTGTTTCCATATATATAAGATTGCAAGAGTAATATCAGCTACTAGTATGGATTTTGGTTTGGTTTGGTAATAGAAAAAGTATTACAATGGCTGAGTTCTATGACTATGGTGCGTGTGCAGATGGGTTTCAAGTGGATCTTCTTACTGTCATTGGCTTTGCTTCAAGCTGCGTATTACAGAAGATTGAAATGGCCAGTTCTCAAATCCCGGAAGATGGTTCTCGACGTTGTGAATTAATCCCCTGAAGAGCAGTTTTTTTTTCTCTCTGGCCAACACTCAAAGATCAAGTCTTCTGGAGAGGAATTGACTTTGCAAGCCTTTGGTTTATCATTCTTTTGGTCATTGAATTAGTTATTTCAATGGAAAATAAATAATTTTGGAGAGTGGCCACTGTGGTTTAGACCATGTAAACAAAAAAATTCATTTTGTATGACCAAACTGAGACTCAATTTTGTGCAATAAAGTTGAAGAAACTTAAATTTATCATTTGGTCATGTTTTGATTTAGCTATATCTTAAATCTTGTAAATATTGAATGTACATTAAGGTTAAATCATGTAATGATTAATATTCGTGAAGAATGTCAGTTACAATATAGATTTCTGTGAAGAAGGAAAGTCTGACGACAATTCCCACGTGATTGGGTTTTGTATCAAACAAGTTTGAACCTCAATGGAATGGGCTAATGAGTTTAGATAGTGTTACGTGTTTTAGAAGATGAAGACGAATTATATAATACTACCCCAAATTATCCAAACACATTATTATTATTTTTCCTTATAAAATATTATTAGTTGATTAATGTTATATATTTTAGATATATCATCATATAATTAATTGTATATTTTTTTATCTGAATATTTTTAGGTTCTATAATAAATGAACAAATTATAATTTGAAAACTCAAAAACCTGATATCTGGAAGAAACAATCCGTATCCAAACAAGTACATTAACTAATTAGTTAAGTAAACAAATAAAAGAAAATTATTGTTAATTGTTTTGAATTTTTATCCCGAGTTGAGAAATCTCATACAAACATGTCGAATTATTATTAACTTTTTTAACACTTGGAACTCAAAATGTTCTTACAACACTAAGCCAAACAGGCTAGCAATAAAAACCAAAAAATAATAAAGCTAATAGGAGTCATAAGTTAATCGCATACAAATGTGGGAAATGTAGATCCAAAGAGAGTCGTGAGACTGTGAAACACCAAGCAAATAGAACAGAGATGCGCAACATCTCTTGTGTATGAGTCTCACCTACGACACGGCAATAACTAACCCAACCAAGTAGGACCCTTGCTTGCTACATAAGACTGATGCCCATAGCAAATCAAGATGCATCTTCCCACGCACAAAATTTTGAGAGACCACTCTTTATCACGAAGAACATGTGGCTTCATAATCCGGCAAGCTAAGACTAGTTGGTCTTCATAAAACTTCCGAATGCGGTGTAGTTCAGACAGCAGAAACATGACCAATAGATGTCTAGATAGAAACCAACAAGAAACATGGAGCAAGGTCTAACCCGTTTGACAAGAACCGCGAACAAAATGAACACATATGACAAGTAGACCTGGAAGCTCCACTAGTGAATCCAAAGATCGATACTAAACTTAAGAACAAGAAACTGAAACCAACTACCATCAACAAGGCCTAATTATTGATGAAGGACAATCAAGGAACTAAATCCGGTTCGTAGAACAAGGCAATAAACTATTTCGTTGCGAGAGAAACTAAGCTACCCAACAAATAGCTGTAAAGACAAACAAAACTCAGCCACACAACGCCCTTTAAATAATCATATAAAGCCAAAGCTATACAATCCAAAGAGAACACAATCTCATGAAACAAGAACCCCCCCCCCCCAAACACACAAACTCCTCTTCAGAAAGGGCCAAAACGAAGTACTTGGACAATGGCCAGAAAACGACGACATACAGAGAGATCCGACCTTCTCCAACCCCAAAAAGGACCACTGCATCGACAAGCCAAATATGCAACCGAGAAATTTGAAGAGAATTTCAATCCTCCCAAAACAACCAAAGAATTTGAATAGAATAAGGTTAACCAAGAAGAGGAAGAGATGGGCTTTTTCGGTGCCGGCGCAAAGCCCAACCACCGGAGAGATACATATCTGACTAGATGGCTTGAGTAGAGAGAAGATAATTAGGGTGAACCACATGTCAAATTATTATGTTAACATATAAAATAAATACCATCGAATTTTTATGTTAAAGACAATTAATGAAGTAGTTATGAAAAACGTGAAAAATAAATGTAAAAGATTTGATAAACACTTAAAATTGGTAATTGTTTTGTATTTCGGTAATAAATATTGTCACATTATTTGGAAAATAAAATAAATGATGATTATAATTATTTGAAAAGACAATAAATGTACTGGTTAAATTAAAACGGAAGGAAAATATGTAAGAAACCACTTAATAGAATAAATTAACCTATATTTACATCTCTTTTCCTTGTCCTTCTTTCATTGTAGCCGGACTCATTAAGATTCCTAATCGCCACAGTTTCAAATCCAGTCCGAAAGATACCATTCAAATTAATCCAAAATAAACACCACAAAACTTTACTTTCTTACGTTTCTTTTCCACCGACGACGAAGAAGAAATTGCAGTTGATTAATCTTTGAATCTTTTTGTTTTTATGTTTGATTAAGTGATTCAAGATCAGTGATACATAGATATTTTTGGGTTTGTTTCATGATCTAATAGTACAAGATGAATTTTGGTTTGATCATTTGTTTTTTTTGCAAGAATGATGTAATTTGTAGAAAATACAAAAACCCGAACTCAATCTGAATTACTCGAACTAAAAATACCAGAACACAGTCCGAAATGTAAAAAATATCTGAACAGATTATATATTCTTATACCGAAATATCCGCAAACCTGAAATCTAAACCCGAAAAACGTGGCACTACCGGGGATCTCAAGGTGGGCTGTATTTAGAGGCCCAATAAAGAGTCCAAAAGTTCTTTCGGGTCCTGAAGCCAAAGTTTGTCCGTTCGTCTCTTCTCGGCTTTGTTATGGATCAAGACGGCGGCCGGTTATGAAATTACGAAACTAGCCTCGGCTTCAGCTCCGAGAGAGTGCACAGAAGAGTCACACAGTCCCCTTCAACGCATCAAAGGGTTATTAACCTTTCGTCCTCCGGAAACGTACAAATCAATCAAAATTCCATTATAAAGAAAGGTTCCTTTGACGCATATGTGCATAAAAGCTTCTTCAAGTTGGCGTCAACCACTCTTCTTCTTACAACAAACATTCCATCTTGAATCTGGCGTGTGTTCTTGTCTAGAATGGCACTTGTCCATCGAATACCCACTTTCTCATCCAATTTTCGAAATTGGAAGAAGACCAATCCTATAAATCCTAGTCATGTTTCTTCTCTCCATTACAAAACCCAGATTACTGCGTCTTCTTCTTCTTCGCCCTTCACGGAGAAGCACTCTGTTGAGAGATACCAGAGGGATCAATGGCTGTACAAGGAATCCCCTCCATCTCCATCACCGTCTTCGAATCAAAAAGATGAAGTCTTCTTTAGGGAAAACGACATCGCATCGCAGCTTCCGGAGCTGAAGAAGCTCTTAGAGGTTCTGAGAGAAAAGAGAGAGCGTGGATGTAGTGGCCGTAATTGCGGACCAGGAGATGTGTTTTTAGTCGGGACAGGACCAGGAGATCCTGAGCTTTTGACTCTTAAAGCTGTCAGAGTCATTCAAAGTGCTGATCTTTTGCTATACGACAGGCTTGTCTCTAATGATGTTTTGGAGTTGGTTGCTCCTGATGCTAAGCTTCTTTATGTTGGCAAAACCGCTGGTTATCATAGCAGAACTCAAGTACACACACCCTTGATTGCTTATGATTTGAAGTCTGAATTGAATTGCAATAAGAAGTTGTTTTGATGTTTGTTGTTACAGGAAGAGATACATGAACTACTCTTATGTTTTGCTGAAGCTGGTGCTACTGTTGTGAGGCTTAAAGGTGGAGATCCTTTGGTAAGCTTTTTGTTTTCTGCTTCTTCATATACTCTTTCTTCTTTGGTTCCTTTGTAGTTATGTCTTTGCAACTTTGATTTTGATGTTTCAGGTTTTTGGACGAGGCGGGGAAGAAATGGACTTTCTGCAACAGCAAGGGATCCGAGTTCAAGTTATCCCAGGTAATGTTCTTTCTTATGCTCATCTTGTCGTCATTCCATTCTCTAAGCAACTGATGTGAATGAACATCTTACCTGTTTTGAAACTTATCTTACCATGATTGATTGTAGGGATTACTGCTGCGTCAGGGATAGCAGCAGAGCTTGGGATTCCATTGACACATCGTGGTGTTGCAACTAGTGTGAGGTTCCTCACGGGTCATTCTAGGAAAGGAGGAAGCGGCCCTCTGTTCGTTGCAGAGAATGCTGCTGACCTAGATACGACTCTTGTTGTTTATATGGGTTTGGGAACTTTACCTTCTCTTGCGCAGAAACTTATGGACCATGGTCTACCTTTTGATATACCAGCTGTTGCGGTTGAACGTGGAACTACTTCTCTACAGCGTACTGTAAGTCGCCAACCAAACGATATAATCTTTTGGCATGGGATGTTACTTTTTCATATCTTAAAAGGTTTTGTTTGGAGGATGCAGGTTTTTTCAGAGCTAAAAGATTTTGCAATTGAGATTCAGTCAGCTGGATTGGTGTCACCAACGCTCATTATTATAGGAAAAGTAGTCGAGCTATCGCCTTTGTGGCCACATTCCACTAAAGAATCCTCCTACCTTGTTGTAGAGACTCATTAGATTTTTGGTTTCTTACTTTACGGGTAAGTGGCTTCCACGGGGGGCATAACGGTTAGGATCTATGTATGAAACATGAAGAAAGTTGAAGAAAGTTGACAGATGTAATAAGCCAAAGGAAAGGCTGATACATTTCTTCTGTTCATGTTATTTGATTATTTTTTGGACAATGCCAACGCCTTGATGTTATAAATAAACTTCAAATAGAGCCAACAAGCAAGTAAACAATAGTTCTTCCTAGTTGTGATTAATGGTTATTATAAATGACTAGCACATCACGGTTTTTTTCATAAACACTTGGTCAACATTATTACTTGACCTTGAATTTGACTCATCAAGGTGCTCTTCTTAATGGTTTTTTCATAAACACTTGGTCAACATTATTACTTGACCTTGAATTTGAGTCATCAAGGTGCTCTTCTTAATGGTTGACGAGCACATGACGGTGTTTTTCATAAATGTTCCTTCTTGTTCCTTCTCATTCCTTTTTTTGTAGGGAATATTGAATAAAATTATTCCTTGTTACAATTGAAAAAGAACAATCATTCTTTTTTGTTCCTGTAAATTTATTTCTACCCATTCTTTTCTTTTTCATTTTTGTCGTTTCTATAGTGGTCAACATTATTACATGGACCTTGAATTTAAATCATTAAGATGATCTTAATTATACTTTATCTGCCGCCTTTTCAAGACCATGGTAATTTTCTTTTAAAACCGATAGAGAAGAGGAATCAAAACTGAACCCATAGCTTTGGATAAATATAAAAATATGTAAAAAAGACGAAAAAGTGAAAAACCCACAATTATCGGATGTTGTAACAACAAAGTAAGAATGTATAACTAGAAGGGACAAATGGTAATTTTTGGTAAGAAAATAAAGAACCATTTAAAGATACAATATTTCAATGTGGTTCGATATGGGCAGAATAAACCAGCCTTGTTAGTCTGGGAACATATCTTGTTTCAACACAAGACTATGTCCGTAGAAACTATTTTGGTATAGTTAATGCATTTTAGAATCTCCAGCTAATGTAGTTGGCATTGATGGTCCGTGTTTAGCAAAGAAAACACTCTAAAAGGCTATGTGGTCTTCGATAAATCCAACTAGTACTCTTGTATAGGTGGATGCAGCAGCCCAACAAATAAGAAGTTCTTTTGTATGATGATATAATATTACTGGGAGACTTTAAGAAGTTGATCAATTTAATTAACTATCTACAACCGTAAATGGACACTTAACTCAAAGTATTGAAGCAAAATTATGTGCTTGTGATATGTTAGAGATCTCAAAGAACTGCTCTTACTCTTAACTTCATATTCATAGAGATTATGCAAGTAATGTTGATAGGTTAGCTAAAATGACTAGGGAGAAAAAACAACCTTAGGTAATATTTTAGTTTGGATAGACTTTTTGTAAACTTTCTCCATTAATACCAAAAAAAATTATTTTGTTTGAGCTGATTAGGTTAGAAATATTGAGAAAGTATCAAAAAGCGATACCACATGAAAAAATTTAACTCGACAGAATTTAATAAAAGAGATTAGTCATAATAGTTTTCTTGTTATGAAATATATTGTGGATTGCCCTAACCGATCCTTGGCCCGTCTAACCAGCCCGTCCATCAAGAATATTAGGCGTCTGGACTCTTTCCTTTTTATTTACGCGGCTAGTTTCCTTTTTCCTTATGGGATTAGGTTTTATACTATTTTTTTTTCTTAGTTGGTTTAGGTTTTTCTTTTTCTAGGATCTTGGAACTCCATATATAAGGGAACCTTATGTTAATGAAATAAACACAACCCTTCCCCTTACGTTCACAATATTTCTATAATTTTTAGACCCTCCTGATATATTTCAAATTGAGTAGAAAAAAATTAATGCGTACATCTATTTACAGAGGTTAGATGGCTTGATGTGGCTTAACATATAACTAAAATTTCAACGGTACCAACTGCCTTTGAACTGTTTTTCTTGAATTTTTTTTTTATGTAACTTCATTGAAAAAGAAACTTTATATTTTATATTATAATATTTTAACTTGAGATAGCTGTGACATATATAGATGACATCATTATCCGACTAAAAACACCTGTGAAATCGATAAAACATTTAGATAACTATAATAATCAAAAATTAAAAAATTAAAATAAGAAATTACATCATACAACTATATTTTTTGATTACTATCAATTAGCTGGAATGATATGTTCATTTTTTTCATCAATTGATTACTTAGTTTTGTTTTCACATCATATATAGTGTCTGATTACTCTTAAGTATTAATATTTAGTTGGTTATTTCACACATTTATACTATTTGATAATTATATCATAACTTGCTTGATTGATGCATCATAAATTGCTTGATTGATAACATCATACAATTAAACAGTTTAACTGAAAACATTATATATTATAGTTTATGTATCAGAAATTATTTGATTGTTACATCATTGTTTAATAATTCACTTGTTGACAACTAGTTAGAATAACATGTTGCATTAAAATGATTTGCTTACCTTCAAATCTTTAGCAAACTTAAGTGCTTTGTATTATGAGCATCCACCAACGGATCTATGGAGGTAACATGTGTAGCTTTGAGTTGTCCACTTTGAACAAATTATCGAACAAAGTGATAAACCAATGCAATATGCTTCGTTCTTGAATGAAAGATCGGGTTTGCCGCTAAATAAGTAGCACTGATGTTGTCGCAGTAAATTATCGGTGCTTGTGTGGTGGAGATACCAAGTTCTACAAGAAGTGAACATACTTCTGCAGTTGTCGCGGCTAATGCTCGATATTCCACTTCAGTAGTGGAGCATGCAACTCCTGTTTTGTTTCTTTGAAGACCATTCAATAGGATGAATTCCAAGATAGACCACATGAGCGTGTGGATGTGTAGTCATCTTTGTTGTCTGTCTAATTTGTATCGTTAAAGGTGTGAAGAAAATTGTGGGTTGAACGCAAACAAATTTCATGAGACTTTGTTCCAAGTAGCATAGAATTTGTTTAATTAACAATTCTTCAGTGATCAGTTGTAGGAATGTGCATGGACTGTGAAATATTCTTGAATGCAAATGAAATGATGGTATTTTGAGAGAGCGAGATACTGCAGGCTGCCAACGATTGTTCGATACTTCATGGAATCATCTAGGATTGTTCCTAAGAATAATATGAGAGATGAATTGGCTTCCATTGGTGTTAAAAAGGTTTAGGTTTTGCATCCTTCATATGTGATTTTTGAAGTAAATATGCAATATAACGATGTTAGATTTAAGTGTAAACCAGTTTTACAATTAGTAACTTCAATGCTTAAGAAATATAAAAAATCACTCAAATCCTTAAGTGAAAAACGACGAGATAGAGAATCAATAAACTGAGTAATATAGACGTCGTTGTTTCATGTGATGATGATATCGTCTACATAGAAGAGAATGTAGAGAATGGCACCATTACAGTTGTATATGAATAAAGAAGCGTCTTCTACAAAGTTCTTGAAATCATATTGAAGAAGGAAGTTGCACAGCTCATTATACCAAGCGCATGCATCTTGTTTGAAACCATATATTGCCTTGTGCAGTTTACAAATGGATTGCGGATTGTCTTTATCGTAGAAACATGGTGTCTGCTTCATACAAACCTCATCTTGGTAATATCCTTGAAAGAATGCATTGTTGACATCCAATTGTCTCATAGGCCAGTTTTGTGTGGTGGCTGTGCTGAGGACAATGCGGATGGTAGCAGTCTTGACGACATGGCTAAACGTCTTTTGGTAGTCAATTCCATGTTGTTGATTGTATCCTTTTTCTACGAGATGTGCTTTGTAGCTGTCGATAGAACCATCTAGTTTCCGCTTAATGGTGAAAACCCACATGCAACCAACAACATTAGAGTGATTAGATGGTTGAAACAAGTGACCAATTGTGAATACAAATATGAGAATTGATCTCGTCTATCATGGGTTGATGCCAATGAAGAATAAGAGTTTAGCGATAGTTTTTCAGATGGTCTCAGATGCTTGGACTTCATGGCGTGAAGATTAAGTTTCTGGACAGGTTTCCATATGCGATTACTTGTTCATGTAGGAGCATCCGTAGGATGAGTGATTGGTTTTGAAACTGCTTGTGGAAGACACAGATTAGATTGTAATGATATAGAGGACCACTGCATGTCATGTGTAGCAGTCCTTTTAGAAGGATAATTTTCCCAAAAGATAATGAAGATAGGTTTCGAGAAGCAGAATGACTATGTACTTGTGAAGGCGATGATATGATTGGTTGCACATGTGATACAAGATTTTTACCCGAGGCTGGTGACGGTATAGTTGTAGAGTTCTATGCTTATGCAGGCGAGAACTGAGTAGTTGCACATGTCTAGTCTACTGTGGAACAACTGTAACTGAAGGAAAAAACAGAGGATGGTGATTGAGTTATATTGTTAGCTTCAGCAGTGGTGATATGGGATATATTAAATAACGGAAAGACAGTTCCACGAAAAACGACATGACAAGACATATAAACCCGAGAAGTTGTTCAATCTAGACAGAAATAGGCACTTTGAATACCCAAGAAAAACACATGGTGGTGAGCGAGCATTAAGTAAGTGGTCAAATAAACGTTGGAAAGGGTTTGGCAATTCAATAGTAAGTGTTAACATTCGATTAATAAAATAAAACGTTGCACAAGTCCAGTAGGATTTTGGCATTGACGCATGAGACATAAGTGCTAGTCTCGTCTCGGTTATATGTCAATGACGTATTTCTGCAATTCCATTATGCTCAGCATATGAGGCGGACTGGTCATATACAAAATATCATGACTAGAGAGGAATTTCCGAAGACTAATAAATTCATCACACTGTCGGTATATAGAATTTGTAATTTGAGTGAAAATCGATTTTTCACCACATTTTTGAACATTGTAAGAACATTGAAAACTTGATTTTTTAAAAAAAAAATATAACCAAATGTATCTATCATAATGAGCTACAAAAATTACATAATACTTAAATCCATTAATAAATATTAGTGGTGATGATTTTAAATTAGACTACGAAAATGGTAACTTGTGCACTTGTTAATGGAACAAATATTGTGTGGCTGGGTCAATAAAACGTTTACAGAAATTGGTACATTGAGAAACAAGTTTTTGAAGAATCAATAGAGCAGGGTCTCCTAGGCATGAATGCCAGCCAGACAAAGATGTCCTAATAGTAGATGAAAAAGTAAGAGATGAACGTGTGGTTGATGATAGTGTTGGCCACTCATAAGTGTTATTCTTAGGCGAGCCTTCCAAACGAAGAGCCCCAAA